TTTAACTTGAATGTTTGTCATGATTCTGAGATCAGACCCTTCTGCAGGGCTTACTGTGACTGTGTCATGAGTGTTGGTGTTGTCTATGCTGACAGTTGGCCTGGCACATCCTCCCAGGCCAAATCTAAGTCTGCATGTCTCTGGGAACCTGCAGTTACTTTCTAGCTTCCCCCGTGTATGTATTTAATTGCTTGAATGCCTGCAACCTTAAATATCTAGCTTCTAAGAGAGGAAAAGAAGAAACAGAAGTGTGCGTAAGTGCCCTGGCCCTTACATTGTCTAAAAGACACCCTAACCAGAGTGATGTTCAATCTCAGTGGCTTGGCTGCTGTATCCCACTGGGGCTACAAACAGCATCGAGAGCACAGGTCTTTGATGATTGGGGGATAAGTCTTTTCACCTGTAAACTGCTCTGGAATCCATAATAACTGATTGTCTAGAGGCAAGGGTAGGCAGCTTATGCTGTGCCAACCGCTACATTGACCAGAATTAACCAGTTTGTTATCCAACCCTCCCCTGGAACTCAAAGACCCTCAACTGATTCCAGAGTTCCACACTAATTGCATAACACAGGGCAAGTTGATGTTGAAGTGCTCCCTAGCATTTCTCTTTCCACCATCTTCCTAGAATTTTTCCACACCTTGGCCTCTGCAACCAGTGAAGATCATTCTAGAGGGTCCTCTGGCCAGCTGATAACCTCCAGCTTGGAGCTTTTTCCAAATGAGCTTTTGTCCTGTGATGTTGAAAGTTTTAATACCATGTGGGTTTGTAACACCCTGGCAGTTATACATAGGGTGGAGCCATGTTGGGAAGGCTACTCCCAGCAACTTCTCTGCTCTGTTTTGTGTGTACAGTCTCTGCACATCACCGTACCATGAGGGAGGACTACAGTGATAAGGGAAAGGTTGGCCACTGGAGCCGCAGCCCTCTACGGCCACCACGGGAGCGCTTTGAGCTGGGAGACAACCGTAAGCCAGGTGAGGCCAGGGAAGGTTGGAGTATCTTTCCTGGAAAACACACACACACACACACACACACACACACACACACAC